GCACACGGGTTTGTCTATTGGGACCTGCGTGTGTGAGCGTGTGTGTGTGTGTGTGTGTGTGTGTGTGTCTACGGTGGTCCACCCTTTGCATGTAGGCATCACTCCTATTTCACCAAGCCTCATGCAACCACCCAGCCCCCACCCAAACTCCACACAAACACATGCACACCCACTCCTCTCCGGCTTTCGCCCAGTGTTCCGTCTTGCTCCTGGCCACTAGGCTACCCCCCCTTGACGCACACACAAATAATACACACACTTAGAGACCATTGATTCAAGTCAATGTGAGTGTATCCTAACCTTCCGAGGACGGTGTTTGAAGTCTCTCTTACCTCCCCAGACCCGCTCCCAGAGCCAGACACAGCCTAGAGTCCTGCAAGAGTGCACGCAAGCGCACACACACACACATGCAGCAGCCAGTGGTCCCATCCACACCACCCATACTACACTCCCAACAGGCAGAGATAGGACGCCGCAGGCAGGGGCTACATATGCGCGAAACACAGGCGCAAACACACTTACTTTCTCTGTGTATTATCAGCTCTAATGAGCTGATAGATGTTCAACGGAAGGCAGAGAAGCAGACAATCATTTCCTCAGAGTGAGGCGAAGAGGCTGAGAAAATCAACAGCGGTGAGCGTGGATGCGTGTGCTCGTGTCTAGGGTCTTGTTTTATTTTCTCTTTTCCTCACAGCCTCCAGGCATCCAGGGGTTAAGGCGGAGCGATGGAGCGGAGCTAGCCAAACGGAGGCCCGCGGGTCCGGGCCGGGGCCCTCGTGGTGCAGCCGGGTTCTGTTTGGCTCGCCAGGAGAAAAACACAGTAATGACTGATATGCTATTTTACGTGTGCGAAGCGTTGGAAGCGCGGCTCTCACTAGCAGAGAAAAACTCCCAAACGAGACTACCACGAACAAAGACATCAAAACGGGGCTTTAATGAAAGGTAGTCAATTCACTTCTACTCTGAGCTCATTACACCAACCCCAGTTCTACACGCTCGGGTACAAGACTGCCTGACGCCGTAAGAGGCCTCTGCACTGTCCTCTGTGCCTCTGTCCACCCGGCCTCCTGACATCGAGAGGGGACGGACCGACGGTCCTCCCGCGACCGCGGCACAGACGAGGAGTTCAGCCTAATTAGACGGCACCTCTCAGATTTAGGCGGCGGGATGTGGCTGGGGTATCCTCGGCGATCCGCTGCGGAGGACGAGCAAAAAGGTCGTCGATGCTGCCGAAGGGGGAAAAGAGTGAAGACGTCTCTCTCTTGAAAGCAGGCGAATTCTTTGACGGAGGAGCGGTCTTTGAGGAAGCGCGGCGGGGATGGAAACGGAAAGGGAAAGAGTGAGGGTTTGCGTGCCTCTCTGTGTTGAGTGCATCGTGAGTGATCAGGTGGAGGAATGTTGTGCCATTCAATAATCGCGTCAGGTCCACACAAACACAGCAATGGTTCCTCCTGCTCCGATTCAGGGGGAAACAAGCGGGCAAGCTCGAAGGGCAGCGAGACCATCGCAGAGGTCACACCCATTCACATCTTTTGTCAACCCTACATTTTGAATCTGTTTGATTTAATGTGGCCAAGTCACATGATAAAATGATATGGCTCAGCTAATAAAAATGAATCCTGATTTTTATATATATAAATCAATATATTTGTGTTCAGAGGGAAGATTTATGGGAGGCTGAAAAAGCAAAAAGATCCCTAAAATTAACAAATAAATGGTCTTACTTTTGAACAAAAAAAACTGCAAAGTTACATTAGTGTGTTAAATTGTTTCTAATTTCATTATCAATTATCATGAATATATTTCAAAATGACAAGTGGTGCTGATGAAGGCTGTGTTCCACTCAGATACATACCTAAATTAAAGCAGACCAACATACACAATACACAAGTAAGCCTCTCTGTTGATGATCCCGTCAAACACACACAGGTTTGGTGCTTTTTTTAATTCCTAATGATTCCTTATGTTCTCTCTGTAAATACAAAGTCAGAGGATTACACAAAGCAAAGCTGACCTTCTGACCCTGTACACTAGTCTGAACACAAACCCACAGAACTCTACAATCTCCCACTTAGCCTTTGCCACTGGTGAAAGGCAACAAGATCTCTTAACAGCAGCTCGTCTTTTTCAATAAATGTTGCATGAAAACATGCCGCTGGAGCACCAAGTTGCCTGCTGTCATACTAGAGGAGTGTTAAATGTTTAATGACGACAACACCGCACACAAGCGTGCGCGCACACACGCACACACACACAGTCTGTGTCAGGGTGCTGCTCTGAGGGGCCCCTCTTTCATCCTGACAGACACTTTAAAGCTCCTGAGCCTCTTCCCCACCCCGACATCAACATCACACTGCTTCACTCCTCTCCTACCACGCAGCAAGGAGACCTGGATGTAAATGAGGTTTGGTGGGTGTGTTTGTGCGCGCGCGCGTGTGTGTGTGTGTGTGTGTGTGTGTGTGTGTGTGTGTGTGTTTGTGAGTGAGGATCAGGGGCTTACACAGGGGCCCTACCCCCATCACCATTAAGAGTAGAAGAAGAATATAAAAAGTGGCTTGTCGTCGACAGGATATGCTGCAGGAAGCCTTGTTTTACATATTGCTGAAAGCTCTCCCTGCTGCCGCCTTTCTTCTGCTGAAGAAACGCTAAACTCCTGCGGGAGCCACCGGGGAAGAACGGGAACATCCATGTCGGCCACTTTCTGGACGCTGACATCGTCATAACAAAGTCCACAAAAGGCGTTTAAACTTTTGACACGTTTTACTTCAAGTAGGGGGGACAAATACGGTCAAATGCTCGGTATTCATTGGTATGAGGAAGAGCAAAAATGTAGTAGTACACGCCATGTTCAATACCTAGATTTAAGGAAACCAAAGTATCTATTTGTTTCTATTTCCAGAGTATATATATATATATATATATATGTTCCCTGGTCACCCACATGGTTCAGTTAATTTATTCCAACATCATATGCCTCTATGGGTAAATCTGGGTAAAGGCCAGATAGGAGAGAAAATTATTAACATTGCCACAGGTGGAAATGCATACATGAACACACACACACACACACACACACACACACACACACACACACACACACACACACACACACACACACACACACACACACACACACACACACACACACACACACACACACACACACACAGACAGACAGACAGACAGACAAGCTAAAGCGGGGTCAGAGATAAAGGAAGAGATTCCTATCGATGCTGAAGGATATTGGAGCCTTAATAAGAAAATAGATATAGTCGGCTGGCCGTACATTTCACTGTTAGCTTTATTTGTTTTCCTGATACGGATCTAAGGAAAGGCAATATGTAATAGCTTCAAATAAATGGAGCACTTTTTTCTTTAAAGGCGACTCTCCATGTTCTTTTCACACGGAGAAATCTTGAGCTCCGAGGTCTTCATTGATGACCAATAAAAGAAAGTAGAGCTGAATATATTATTAATAACAAACCGCATCTGTTCTTTTTTCCAAACAAATCTACTAAACTTATGAATAATCCTTTAAAGATCATTTTTACATTTACTAATTGTTTAAATCTAAATAAACAGGAAGCCATAGCTTGAACTATATGCGAATGCTTAACCCTTATTTCTAATCATAGCAATCTTTCCCCCACTCATAAATGGGCATAATACTAGCAAAATACATAAAATGAGTTCAATTAAGATTCACTCTCAAAGAAACACTTTCTCAATAATTAGCATTTACTGAACTTAATGAGATGCAGCTCACACACATTTGCCAGAAGACGCGCTGTGACAGTTTGACAGTGGCGCACCAGCAAAGTTTAAAGAACCTTCTTAGATACACTGCATTTTTTTTGTCTCACGCTCGTTGCTATAGTTATGAGTTTCATCATCTGTTAGCACCAAGCATCAAGAAAACATCAGAGGAATGGAGATTGTTTTCAGTTGTAAAATCCTAAACTGACATTTGGCTTTTACTGCATATTTCTGTCAATTTAATGAAAAGCCTAGAAATAAATACTGCCTCCAAATGTTTTTGCTCAGACAAGTTTATGTGCAAGAAACTCAAAGTTTTCATTTGTATGAAAGAAAATGGCAGCTCCATCCACCCGGGTTGTACTGTTGGATGCGAATCAACGTTTTTCAATCAATGCATTCAATTGCAGAGTAATCTGTTAACTGAGAAGGGCAAAACATAGACGGCACTTTGCGTTTTTCATGCAGTTTCACCTGAGAAGCAGAAGTCCCTTAAATCGGCGTGTTAGAGCACAGCAGCGGGTCTGCACCCCTCATGGGACACACACATCTGTGCCATTCAACGTGACAGACAACAACCGGGTTCCAGTCGTATTACAGTGGCCTCAAATCACTTTAGAGCACGCCGCAATGGCCAAGTATTAAGGGGTGCTCTTCTGGAGAAGGCAGAGAGAGGCCTCTAAGGTAGTTACACCTGTAGTCCAGTGTTCCACCGTTTAAAGATCTACTCCTCCAAACAGGCTTCTAGTGAGCATCACAGAGAGTATCTCACCTTGTTTATTGTTTTGTTTTCTTCTTGGTATAAGTACCAACAACATCAGAGATGCTTGTGACGTTGTTATGTTTCTAGACTTATTGCAGCGGGGTTGAAAAGTGGAGTTAAAGTCATCAGACATCATCTGGTGACCCAAACATACTCCTGAAAGTGAACCAGTGCAGCACTCCTAGCTCCCGTCTATCCTTATTTCCCAATGACGTCTTCTAAGAGGGAACTATATCGCATTACAAGGCCAGCCTCGGCCGGCGCTCGATTGGAAGTGGGGGGGATGATGGATTGATTGATGGATGGAAGGATCAAGTGATGGATGTACAGATGGAAGGGCTGAGACTGAGCTCCATATTTAAGTCCATATTATTGAGACCAACTCACTCTTTACCTACAGTTTCGATTGAGCTTGGCCGTCCCCACCTGTTCACGTATATACCTATAAAAAAAATGTTAAAAGAAGAAATTTGTCACTTACGCCTTTCTGGCTGCCTTGTCCTTGCTCTTGTCCTCTCTGTCCTTGTCTCTGTTTCTCCCTCTGTCCCGCTCCTTCTCCTTCTCCCGGTCGCGGCCCTTGCGACGGCTCCGGTCCCGCTCTCTGCTGCGGCTCCGGCTCCTCCGGCGGCTGCGGCTGCCACTTCTTTTGCGGCTCTGGGTGCCCCGACGGCTGCGGCTGCCGCTCTTACTGCGAGACCGCCGGTGGCGAGAGTGAGACCTGGAAGAGATGACCGGCGAAACATGGAAGAAGAGATGACAGAGAGTTAAACTATGTCCTCGTCTATTGGTACTTAGTTAATTATTGAATTTGCTCCCAACCAGTGTGGCTGAGAAGATCTCACTAAGCGGTCAGTCACACACATGTGCAGAAGCAGGGGGCCGTGTTCCCATCTCATCTCCTGGACGCATTGAAGTGTGGGTTATTCGGTTCCTTTGCTTTATGGCAAAATCTATTGCCCTTTCATTGAAAATACTAACACGGCACAAGAATCCGCTCGTGCTTTTACTTAAGTAAAAGTGTCCTGAAAACTGCAAACTTTTATTCCTGCATTTACCTTTTTAGCACTCCCTTAATCTGCAGTGTTTTTCGCTCAAAGGACGCATGTTATGTGTAACAAAGATTTGCAAAACCGGTTAAATCACCTGCAAATAATACCCCATCTCGACGTGAGACCGAAGTTTCCGGGGACGAAAAAATCGTGACCTTCTAATCGGTAAACAAAGCTTTAAAAAAAATAATAATAAACTCACACAGATCGAATTTTCCTTGGGTGAACAAATCCATCCTTTATTGGATGGACCTAATAATACAGTTATGTACAATCGCGTACAGCATGACACACAGACAGACACACAGTAGAAATGGAGCCAATTAGAGGTGCACTCAGAGGAAGGCCTGTCCTCGGTATTGATCCTGACACCGGCCCTCTGGTCTCAAAAAGATTAACAGCGCGAGATTAACTTTGTTAGTTATGACACACAAACACACATCATTTATACACCAACAAAAAGCAAATTGAAAGTGTAACTCATGCTTCAATATTGTGCCATACACACAGAGACACAAATTACCGAAACCTAACCGCTTATTTATGTGTCACTGCAGATGTCTCTATTGACGCAGACGAAAACCTTCAACGTATTCTACGTGTGTTAGTGTGTGTGTGTGTGTGTGTGTGTGTGTGTGTGTGTGTGTTAAGGGCCGCGATTTGAACCCCCAGAAGAAATCGGCAGCTAAGATGCCGTTATTTTCCATCATCTATCATTTTATTGATTTGTCTATAAAAACAGTCAAACCTGCTGTCCACGAGCTTTATTGCTTTCCCCCTTTTATTAGTTTGCAGTTTGGGACATCCAGAGCTGTCTGACTCTCGAAAGAAAACTAATCATTTTCTCCGGACGGCTGTCAGCCTCCTAACAGACAACACTCTGACAAGTGTTGCAATCAATTAGGTCGGGGCGACCCCGATCACTGGAGACCGCTCGCTGCACTATGTCAAGGTCTTCAAAAGAGCTCCAATCGGGTGGAAAAGAAATCTGAAAACCAAAAATATAAAAAGGTTTCAAGTTTATTATTACTTTTAATTTTTTTACAGGAGTAAACCCATTTCCCGAGCAAAAGGTCAGACAGGGACCAAAGGAGTTCAAACAACACTGTATATTTAGCACCCAATTGGGCAGGAATGCGCAGTCAGCCACTGGAAAACAAAGTCAACGCATGACTCATGAAAGTCAACTAATGGACCAAAACTAAGATGTTCCCCAAGTTCCTCACACGTGAGCCGGAGATTTGTATCTGCCCTCTTTAACCACAGAAAAGCCCGTCCCATCGGGCTCTGCAGAACGGCTCCTTAAGCCGAAAACCTGGAGTGATGATCAGGAATAATCATTACGACATCGCGTTCAGAGGCAGAGGTGAACGTGGCCATCAGTCATGGGCCATTTGATTTAGCGTGTGTAATATTGTTTACTGGAGCTGCGATTGGGCTTGTCAGAGAATCACAGCTAATGGAAGCAAGCAAAGGAAAAACATTGGCATTTTAGGGGTTCGCAGCCTCCAAGTGAGATGATCCATCAATGGCCCAAACAGACCTTGGACTGAGCGGATCTGTGTGTTGACAATGCCTGCGTATGTTTGTAATCAACAGTACATGAGGGGAAGTACAACGGAGTTGCAGTGTTCCAAACCAAAGTCTTATATTTGGAGCCAAGCAAATTGTGGCCAGAAGCAGCAGATGCAATAAACACAATCTCACCCTCTCTCTCTGTCTCCCTCTCTCTCTCTCTCGCAGTTAGTCTCCCTCCCTCTCCCTCTGATGGCAAAGAAAGCAGCCCACTTCTGGGGTGTGCAGCAAATTAAATTTACTGTAGTTAATAGAGTGAGTCTATGCTGCTAAATGTCAATTTCCTGACCAAGTCCTTCCCCTTGGAGAATGATTAGCTAATTTGGGCTGGGGATAAATGGGCTAATGCAGGACACACACACACACACACACACACACACACACAGATAAACAGACACAGTTGGACCCCATGCCAAGCCTTTCCCCTGCTTTACATTTTATTGGCCTTATTATCTCCAGGGAAAACGGGTCCCCCTATGGCCTAAACATATTTTCATTTCTAATAAAAGGCCCTTGCAGGTTGCCCCCCGTACAATGCCCCCCCCCCCCCCCCCACACACACACACACACACACACACACACACACACACACACACACACACACACACACACACACACACACACACACACACACACGCACACACGTACACACACTCATGGTGCAGCCCTCACAGCCTCCTTCCTCCATTCCCTCGTTTCACGGTCCATCCATTAAATCGGAGCTCTGAATTGGCTGGGATAGTTTTCCTGGTGAATTATCAATAGAGTAATTATGCTGCATGTAGGGAGCCGAGCTGAAGCTTATCGCCGCTTACCCCCCGGTGAGCGGCGGGATATGATCCCTCACCCACAGCCCATTGGGGTAATTATGTGGTCGGGTGTGAAGCTGGATGGTGTGTTACCCTTATCGGTCTGTTTTCTACTTCTGTTTTCATTGAAAATCGACATTAATGGCAACTACGCGATACCAGTAGTGTCAGATACAGGTGAGCTGCTCCAATGGAATCTGACCCCATTTAAATCATTATTCATACTAAGCTCTGTAGGGACGGGGGACACATGAACAAACACACACACACACACACACACACACACACACACACACACACACACACACACACAAAAAGACCAATTATCCTCACTGTTCCTTAAACCTTATCTTCCACATATTTATATTGTTTTTTTTCTTTCCCCAGCCGCCATCCTCGGTTGGGAGGGCAAAAACAAAGTTCCTATCCTTATTGTATTGGTCCTGTGGCAGGAAAAGACGAGGGACGTCCCCAGTAGCGTCCCTGCGTGAGGCTGGTGTGGTGCGGCCACAATTCTGGAGATTTAACTTTAACCCGGATCGCATTTCGGTGGCTGCTGGCGACCAGAGTCCTTCTTAACAACAACACACCAGAAGCTGGAGAAGAGCCTTATGTGGTAAAATAGACGTTAATAGTTAATGAAATGTTTGATCATGATAGCTTGAGTATAGGATCAAATATTGGGTTTGTTTAATTTATGGTTTAGCATCTTTCCATCATTTTTGACCATGTTCATCATCTACATGTGTCTATAAAGAGCGCCTCAGGGCCAGCTTCTAAACCACCATTGTACAGGTTTATTTGCCTTTCGTCATTACGCTTTCTAAGAGTACTAATGTTTGCATAACAATGCAGTAGTCAATATGCAAGTACAGCAATAGACCTCGAGCAATATAATGTTTAACTTTTTAGAGAGAGAACTAGTGATTACAACAGTGCAACTGAGACAACGCCCGTGGAACAGGTGCACAAGACAGATACAAATAGGAATTGTAGCTAAAATAAATATCTGCGTAATAATGGTGGATACACTCTTACAGAGATTTAACAAATGTTTTGGCACAAATATATATTCAGTGCAAAAATTGAAAAAGATTGTCTTCTGGACAAAGTCTGTTACGACAAGAGTCATGTTGAAATCCTCAGTATGTGTCTAAAATATTTGGTATTTACTCTCTGTATCAAGGCACAGCCTTAAACAGGTTTCAGGTTTTACCTAGCAAGTAAAAGGTAAAACCTTGGATGTGAGCACCCTCCAGCCCAACACACACACACATTCAAGGAAAACGCTTGCCAGTCGACTTTTCCCAGCAAAAGACAGATTGAAAAAGAAACGGGCCTATTGAAAGGGAGAGGATCCATATTTGAAGAACTTCATTAATGCGCTGTTCCCCGCAGAGTTATTTCCAGTGACAGAGCACACAGCAGCAGCTTCATGTTCAACTTAAAAGTCACTTTTCTTTTTTTTCTCTGCCATTTCAGTGTGTCTAAAAAGCACCTTGAGTGAGCAATGTGCATTTCCTGCTGCCAAAAGACGTGGAAAACAGCTGTTCCTGCCTGACGCTGTCTGCTGAATGGAATGCAAATATGTTAACCATCCAGAATTTATTACTTTTGAGTGCTCTTCAAACGCAACGGCAGACACAAGTTTAATTTATGATATTCCTCTAATTATGAGAGCTGTTGAAATCATTTCCCAAGCTGCTTCCTCCTTCCAAGCAGCCACAATATCTGTTCCCTCGGTTCACACACACACACACACACACACGCACAGACAGACATTCACACTCACAAACATACGTACACACAGACACAAAAATAACACACGCAGAATTGCTGTAAAGTTGCTGATTGTGAGCACAATTAACACAGCAAAGACGGAGCATGAAAGATTCACAGAAATGTTTTTTCTCCTTCCCCCTCTGCTTCATAAAAGTAATGTTTAGATTTTTCATAATCTTCAGTTTGCTTTTAATTTAGCAGTCGTCAACACAAACGTCTGCAGTGCCCTGCTGTGCTGCGATGCAGAAATGAGACCCCGTGCAGGCCACCCACTCACTACAGAGAACCCCCCTCCCACACGCACACAGTTTCAGCCACAAGGTCAAGTCATTTAGCAGAGTTCAAATACCTTCACAGACCCCTCAGATCTATATGAACCAACACCGGCCAGCCATCGATGAGGGAGAAGATGACTTTCTGCTGCAAGCTGGGGTTTCTTTGTGTGGACCTGTGTGTGTGTGTGTGTGTGTGTTGCTGCGTTGATGTGTTGATGGCCCGACGTC